AAAACAAACAATGATAGGATGGAGGGAGAAAGAGATAGTACTAAAATAATGTTAGGAGCTCTGGTAGCATAGTGCTTAAGGCACTTCTGCTAACCAGAAGGCTGGCAGTTCAAACCCACCAACCACTCCTCGGAAGGAAGATGGGGCAATCTACTTCTGTAGTGAAACCCAAGGAGGGGTCGCTATGAGTCAGGTCTGACTCGATGGCACATAACAACAACAACAAAAAAATAATGTTGGAGACTTCGATCTACCACTTTCAATATTGAACAGAACATCTAGAAAGAAGACAACAAGGAAGCAGAGTACCTGAGTAAAACTATAAACCAAAAAGACTTGACAGATATATGTAGAACACTACTCTCAAATATGGCACAATATACTTTCTACTCCAATGCACATGGATCATTCTCCCAGATATACCACATTTTAGGTCACAAAGCAAGTCTGGATAAATTTATAAAGATTGAAATCATATATTTTCTCTGACCACAATGGAGTAAAGCTAGAAATCAATAGAGGAAAAAAAAAAAACCCCTCTGGAAAATACACAAATATATGAAAATGAAACAAACCTAGTACCATCAAGTCAATTTCAAATTACAGTAGCCCTATGTGGTTCAAACCCACCAGCCAATCCTCCAAAGGAAGATTGGGCAATATACTTCCACAGTGATACCACCTCGGAAACCCAAGGAGGGGCCACTATTGAGTTGGATCCTACTCGACTGCAGTGAGTTTGGTTTTATAGGATAGAATAGAACTGCTCCATAGGATTTCCAAGGCTGTAAATCTTTACAGAAGCAGACTGCCTCATCTTTCTCCCACAGAGCAGCTGCCAAGTTTGAACTGCTGACTTTTTGGTTAGCAGCTGAATATCCTAACAACTGCTTCCCCAGAGCTCCTATACAATGACCAAGTGGGTTTTATTTCAGGAATGGAGAGATGGTTCAACATTAGAAAATTAATCAACATAATACACTATAATAGAGCAAAGTAAAAGATTCACACAATCATCTCTATGGATGCAGAAAAGCCATTTGATAACATTCAACACCTTTTCTTGATGAAAACCCTAAAGACAGTTGGAATAGAAGGGAAATCCCTCAGTGGATTCAGGACATATATAAAAAGCCCACAGCCAACATTATACATTTTATAACAAAGAATAACTGAGAGCTTTCTCTTTGAAATCAGTGACAAGGGTGTCTGCTCTCACTACTTTTATTCAATATTTTACTAGAAGTCCCAGCCAGTGCAATAAGAAAAAGAAATAAAAAGTATCCAGATTTGGAAATAAATAAAATTATGTTTATTCACAGATGATATGATCCTATATATAGACATCCCTCAGAGATATTGCAGGTTCACTTGCAGACCACCACAATAAAGCAAATATCACAATAAAGCAATTCACATAATTTTCTTTTGGTTTCCCAGTGCATATAGTTTACTGTACTGTAAACTAGTAACTGTGCAATAGCATTATGAAAAAGTTTGAATTATTGTAAAAATTAACAAAATGTGACACACAGGAAGACAGGAAGAGAGCACATGCTGTTGGACAAATGGCTCTGGCAGACTTGCTTGACATGGGGCTGCCACAAAACTTCAATTTGTAAAAAACACACTGTCTACGAAGCACAAAAAAATTAAGTAGAATAAAAAGAGTATGCCTGTGTAGAAAATCCCAAAGAGTTCACAAGAAAACTTCTAGAGCTAATAGAGGAATTTTGCAAAGTTTCAGGGTACAGCGTCAACAAACAAGAATCAGTTGGGTTTCTGTACACCAGCAATGAGAAATCTGAAAAGGAATTTAGAGAAACAATTCCATTTACAATAGCATCCAAGAGAATAAAATATCTAGAAATAAATCTAACCAGGGACATGAAAGACTTATACAATGCATACTATTTAAAAAAAAAAAAAAAAAAAACTTCTGAAAGAGATTAAAGAAGACTAAATGGAAAGAGTTTCACGTCCATGGAATGGAAGACTCAATATCGTTAAAATAGCAATACTACCCAAAGTGATCTATAGATTCAATGCAATCCCACTCAAAATTCTAACACCCTTCTTTACAATTGAAAACAATCTTCAACTTTGCATGGAATGGCAAGAGACCGAATAACTAAAGCAATGTTGAAATAGAAGAACAAAGTAGGAGAACTCACACTTTCTGATTTTAAAACATATGATACAGCTACTGTAATCAAAACAGCCTTGTATTGGTATAACAATAGACACACAGAAGAATGGAATATAATTGAGAGTCCAGAAATAAACCCACACATCTATTGTCAACTTATTTTTGACAAGGGTGCTAAGTACATTCAATGGGGATTTCCACATGTACAAAAATGAAAGAGGATCCATGTCTCAGACAATAAAAAAAAAAAAAAAACAGATTAAAAATTGATTAAGGACTTAAATATGCAAACTAAAACCATAAAATTCTCAGAAGAGAATTGCTCCTGCTAATGCTGTCAGACCTAGCTTTCAACAACGAATTATCTAATATAATAACAAAAGCACAAACAGCATAAGACAAAATAAATAAATGGAACATCATAAAAATTAAACATTTTATTCATCAAAAGACTTCTCAGAAAAAGTGAAAAGACTAACAACTGACTGGGAGAAGATTTTCGACAAGAATCTAATAAGCAAAGTATATCTAAAGGTTTGTCAACTTGGCAACAAAAAATCAAATAGCCCAATATACTGTAAATTAGGAAATGAGCAAAGGATTCAATAGACAATCACTGAAGAGGGCATTGAAATGGCCACCAAACACATGAAAAGATACTCAGCCTCATTAGCCACCATAGAAATGCAAATCAAAACCACAATGAAATACCTTTCCACTCGCACTAGCATGGCTAAAGGAACTCTGGTGGCATAGTACATAGACATTGGGCAATCTACTTCTGTAGTGATACTGCCTTGGAAACCCAAGGAGAGGTCACTATGAGTCAGATCTAACTTTATGGCAGTGAATTTGGTTTGGTTTGGTTAGCATGGCTAAAAAGGAGCTCTGGTGGCACAGTGGCTTATGCATTTGCCCGCTAACCAGAGGGTTGGTGGTTCAAACTCACCAGCCACTCTGTGGAAGGAAGACAAGACAATCTACTTCTGTGAAGATTAACTGCCTTGGAAACCCAATGCAGGTTGCTATGAGTAGAAACTGACTCGGTGGTGGTGTTTTTTTGTTTTTTGAAGGGGTGGGTGTTTAGCATGTGTAAGGTTAAAGAAAAAAATAAACAGAAAATAACACATGATGGTGAGGATGTGGAGAAATTGGAACACTTATCCATTGCTGGCGGGAATGAAAAATGATACAGCTATTGTGAAAAACAGTGTAATAGTTCCCCAAAAAAACCTGAAAGTAGAGCTACCATATCACTCCTAGATATAAATCCAAAAGATTTGAAAGCAGAGACTCAAAAAGAGACTTGGACACCAATATTCATTGTAGCACTATTCACAATAGCCAAAAGGTGGAAACAACTTAAATGCCCATCAACAGATGAATGAATACACAACATGTGGTACATACACACAATGGAACACTGCTCAGCCAGTTGAAGAAATGAAGTCTTGATACATGCTGCTGTATGGATGGAACTTGAAGACATAATGCTGAGTGAAATAAGTCAATCACAATAGGACAAATATCGTATGACTTCACTCACATAAAAAGACAAGAAAAGGCAAATGCATACAGATCAAAATGTATAGGTGGTTACCAGGGGGGTGGGGCAGTTTAAGAGTGACGGAAAAATCTCATTGCTTAAGGGTAGGGTTGCACAGCTCATTATTGTAATTGCTACCAATAAGTTGTGCATCTTTAAAAATTGAATTGGCAAAAGTTGTGTGATAAATATATTTATAACATGACCGAAAAAACAAAAAGAGTACCTGCTGAGGCTGCTTATGCACAACCAAACACCTCATGGGATTTGGTTCCCTGGTTTGGAGGTGTAGAGTCATGGTTTCATGGGACATCCCACTTAATTGACCTAATAGCATGTTTAGTGCTCTGTTCCACTTCTTATTTCATTACATAATGTCTGGGGCCTTAAAAAGCTTGCAAGTGGCTATCTAATGCACCCCAGTTGCTCTCTATTCACTGGGAAAACAGAGGTAGAAGGAGAGTGCATGAATAACTGCCTCCTTTGCCACGACACCAGAAGAACCATATGTTGCCTAGCTATTATTAATGAACATTTTGATCAAAGATTCCATAGAAGATTTCTGATAAAAAGGGGGAAAATACATAATAAAATTCTGAAGTCTCATGGATTCTAGACTTTCTGAAACGATGCAGGGTGGATGAATCCCTGGAACTATTGCCCTGGGCTAATCTGTAAACCTTAAACCCAAAATATCACCTGAAGTCAACTTATAGCTGAAAAATAGTTTAGCTGAACTAATAAAAAAGATCTGCCCTGAGCATTATGCTCTTTTCAGAACTATCTATAAGGGATCAACTTGACAACGTGAACTCTAAAGACTAGATAGCAACCTCAGAGGACAGTGAGTTTATGTTAATGAGGGAGGAACAACTCAGAAAAGAGGATGTGAATGGTTATACAACTCAAAGAATGTAATCAGTGTCACTAAATTGGACATGTAGAAATTGTTGAATTGGTATATTTTTTGCTATGTATATTCTCAACAACAATATAAATAAAATTTGTTGTTGTTGTTGTTATGTGCCGTCAAGTTGGACCCGACTCATAGCAACCCCTTCTTGGGTTTCCGAGGCAGTATCACTACGGAAGTAGATTGCCCCATCTTCCTTCCAAATATAATAAAACTTAGGGGGAAAAAAAAAGGAAAGGAAAACTTTAGTGAAACTCTCTCTTCATTGACACACACACAAGGACCCAAGAGGAAGTTGCTGGGCTGCCCCATTCAGTGGGAGAACTGTGCTCTCAGGGACCCAGGGTAAATCTGAAAAGCAGAAGAGGCAAAAAGGCCATTGTACAGTGTACCTGCAGTGAGGATGGAAACTTCTGTGGCAGGCTTAGTGGTCAGGAGATCTGTGACTGCCTCTGGAAGGGAGCTTGGTGTTGTCTGAGAGCAGGTGGTTGTGGTTGTTGTGAGAATAGCAGTGATCCTTGTCTGAAGTGGAGTTCCGGTTGTGAGGTCAGCTGTAGTTACGACTGTTGGAAATGCAGCTGTAGTTGTTGTCATCTCAGTGGTGGTAGTTAGGTGAGGGATTGTTGTTGGGCGAAGACTTGTTGTACGTGTGGTGGTTGTTGTACGTGTGGTTGTTGTTGTACGTGTGGTTGGTGGGGCTGTCACAAATGGAATATAAGATTAGTACCAAGTGGAGATGGAGGAAAAGGGAAATAGACACAAATACATCTGGGATCCGTACATTTCTGATGCCCTCCTCTGGTTCATTGGCTTAGATGATATTCAGGTTACCTAGTCCCGCTCTGACAAGAATATACCACAAATGGGATGGCTTTAACACACTGGAGTTTATTCTCTTACAGTTGGAGGCTTTAAGTCTGAGTTCAAAGTGTCAGTCTCTAGAAGCTAGGTGAAAGCCCCTCAGCCTTGGGCTTCAGCTCTGCCTCCTGCTCCTGGCAGGAGGCCTTTCTTCACTCAGACAGCTGCAGGCTGCTGAGGTTGACAAACACAAGGTCAACAAATAAAAAGGCACAGTCTCAATATTACCAAACAAAAAGGCATGCCATTGATTCAAGTCCATTGAAAGTCCCAGGATCCACAGAGCATGGCAGGCTGCTGAACAACGACTTGGCTTCATGCAGGGTTCAAGTGTGCCATAAGCTAGAGACCATTCCCAAAGTTGCTTCTTATATTTGGAAAGAAGACCACATCCCTAAGACAGCTACTCAGCTGTTTGTAGTAGATCCCACCATGGAATTGTTTGCCAGTCTCTTCATGGGAAATAACTACCACCAGCTGCTTAGCCACTGAGCCAGGCAGGCCCAGCCAAGTTGACACACAACCTTAACTACCACAATTCAACGCCTTGTCAACTTGGCACCTGTCAGATATTCATTGGGTGGCATCTATACAGATCTCCTTCACTGGGTGGCTCCAGTACCCTAGCTCCACTGAGTGGCAACCTCACCCCCTTGGACTGCCAGGTCTCATTCCTCTACCTCTTGGGCAGTGGTTATAACTCTATCTCACTGGCCCACATGAACAAGCAGCGCCACACTCCAGAACCAAATTGGTAAAGGTCTGAATCTTTGAAACCTAGGAGGCTGTGCTGGTTCCACCCCCAAAGGCCATGGTTCTACCCTTGAGGCTGAGGCAGCTCTGCTTCCCACTTCTTTGGTCTCTCTGCTTCTGCCGATTAATGACAAAGGCAACTCACTCTGCCGGAAATCTCCCTGCCCAAAAAGCACTCAGCTTTCTTGCTCTGTGGACTAGCCAATCTGCTACTCCATTTCATTCCAGTCACTTCCACCAATTAACCCCTGAAGGCAACCCACTCTGTCAGGAAACAGCCTTGCCAATGGCATCCAGATTTCTCCTCCATGGGCTGGTAAGGCTGTCGCTTTCTCATGGTGGGTCTCTCAGCTCTGCTACTGACATTCTCATGCCAGTCTCTTGGTTCTCCTGCTGCTGCAGTCTCTGATGTAAGTCTCTTGGCTCTGTTCCTGCTGTGTCTCATGCCACATGCCAGGGTATCTCTGCCAGGGTCTTGGCTCAAGGACACACTCCACTCCTGTTTCCACAGTTTAGGTTTTTGTCAGAGCAGCACCCACTCCTGGTACCATATTCTGTTCCGGTTGGTGCTGCTCTGACAAGAACATACCATAAATGAGATGGCTTTAACATACTGGAGTTTATTCTCTTATAGTTGGAGGCTTTAAGTCCGAGTTCAAAGTGCCAGGATTTAGGGGCTGGGTAAAAGCCCCTCAACCTTGGGCTTCAGCTCTACCTCCTGCTCCTGGCCCACTGAAGCTGGAGGCTTTTCTTCACTCAGACAGCTTCTGGTTGCTGAAGCTGACAAACCAAAGGTCAACAAATAAAAAGGCACAGTCCCAATGTTACCAAACTACATCGCAGGCCACTAATTCAAGTCCAATGAAAGTCCCAAGATTGGCAGAGCATGGCAGGCTGCTGAACAACTACTCGGCTACAGGCAGGGTTCAAGCATGCCATAAGCTAGAGACCATTCCCAAAGCTGTTTCTTATATATGGGAAGCAGACCATATCCCTAAAGCAGCTACTCAGCTGCTTGTGGTAAATCCCACCATGAAGCTGATTGCCAGTCTCATCATGGGAAATAACTACCACCAGCTGCCCAGCCACTCAACCAGGCCCAACCAAGCTGACACACAACCTTAACTACCACAGATGACATATTACAACTGCCATCATTCTTTTCCCTTCCAATTTTGTCTTCACACATTTAGGTACTGTAATCTTATAAAATTACAAATCTAATTATGTCAATCCCCTGCTTAAAATGTTTTACCAGTTCTCCCTGCCTTTAAAATAAAGAACCCAATACTTGACATTGGCCATCAAGGTTCCACCAGATCTGGATCTGTCTTTCATTCCAATCTCATGTGTCCACCCTCTTCTTCCCACTCTTCCCTTCCCACTGGTGTTCAGTCCTTTGAACATATAAGTGAATTTCCAGCCAAAGGAAATTGATTCCTGCTGCTTCATATTCTTACTCTTCACTAGGCTGACTTGTACTTAAACTCCTCCTGTCTCAGATAAAGATCAATTATTCTGCAGAGAGGCTGTACAATTAGCCTTCCTGGTTATGCATGCTCATATTTTACCTTCACATCACTTACTACATTTTATTAACTATATATTTGTTTGCACTATTATTGTTAATATCTTATTTTCCCACTAGACTCTGAGTTCTAAGAGGGAAAATGTGGCATCTATTTCGTTCTCTAGCCCTGGTGACTCAGTGATTAAATGCTCAGCTTCTAACTGAAAAGTTGGCAGTCTGAACACAACAGCAACTGTGTGGGAGAAAAGATATAGTAGTCTACTTCCATAGAGATTTCAGCCTTCGAAACCATATGGAGCAGTTCTACTCTATCCTATAGGGTCAGTATGAATTGGAATCAACTCTATAGAAGTGGGTTTGATTTGGGGATTTATTTTGTTCTCTGCTACAACCCAGTACCTATCACAGCGACTGCCTATAGTTTTTGTTATTAGTTGCCATCAAGTCAGCTCTGACTCATGATAAAACTATGCACAGTGAAACCTGTGACAGCAGGAACTCAACTGGACTGCCTAATTTTTCTTGGTCTCACACTTTTTACCTTTGAAAAACTGAAATATTACCACTTTTCTATCACTCTTGTAGTGGAAAATATTTCTATTTTCCTTCTCTGACAGGTTTCTGCCTTACACAGTTTCCTGCTTTCTCAGGTTTTACCTCATGAAAGGATAAAATGTTGCCTGATCCTGCTCCATCTTCATGATCGTTGGTAATTGGACAATGTTCTGTTCTGATCCATAGAGTTTTCACTGGCTAATTTTTGGAAGTTTATTGCTAGTCTCTTCGTTCTAGTCCATTTTAGTCTGGAAGCTCCGCTGAAGCATGGCCATTGTGGGTGACCCTGCTCATATGTGAAACACTGGTGGCATCACTTCCAGAATCATAGCAACAGGTAAGCCATGACAGTACAACAAACTAACAGATGGTGGTAGCTGGAATGTAGTAGTGGCTCCAAAAATATTGCATGAGTGAGTAAATGAATGAATGCATGCATCAAACGTGAGCTCAAAATATGCACCATAGCATGAGAATGCAGTAGGATGAGTATATGATCTCTTTCAGATGCTAATGATGGGTTCATGCCAATACCCTTCACCCTTTAAACATTTGACTTTGGGTTCATTAGCCACAGTTTATTCCACAGATCTTATCTTCTCTTATTTATACCAAATTTCCACTAATTCTAATGGACCAGAAAAACACCATTTATTTCAAGTGAACTTAAAAATGACCCCATAGATATTAAGGTCAACAAGCATTTTATAAAATAACAGCTGATTCTACTAGACATGAAAAAGGAAGACCAGAATTAGAGTCATTTAACTTCAATAAATGTCATTTTCCTCTACTGCAAAATAGAAATAGTACCTCCTATCACACAAAGTTGCTTTGAGAGAAAAATATGTTAATGTATGTGAAAGCTCTTTAATTAGAAGCATTTACATCATTGGTTCTAAAATTTCAGGGCACATTAGAGTTTCCTGAGAACCTTGTCAGGTATACAGATACCCAACCTCCAGGGATTCATGTCCATTAGGAGAAGAGCCCGATGATCCTCCAGGTGATAATGATACAGGTGGTACAAAAATCTCACTTTGAGAAGCTCTGTTCCAAATAAGCATTAAAGGTGATTATTGTTGCTGTTACCACTGGTGGTTCAGTGATAGAATTCTTAACTTCCATGCAGGAAACTTGAATTCAGTGTCAAGCAAATGTACATTATATACAGTCACTTCCCATCTGTCAGTGGAGGCTTGCAGGTTGCTATGACACTGAATGGGTTTCAGCAGAGCTTCCAGACTAAGATAGACTAGGAAGAAAATCCTGGCTATCTACTTCCCTAAAAGAACCAATGAAAATCCTATGGATCACAATGGTCAGGTCTGCAACTGATCATGGGGATGGTGCAGAACTGGGCAGTATTTTATTCCATTGTGCATGGGATCACCATGAATTGGAGACCCACTCAATGGCAGCTAAGAACAACTGTTAGCATAATTCAACCATAGGTTGCGTTCCATGCAGTTTAAATAATTAGAAGTTCCAGCCATATTCCAGATATCAACAAAAGCAACTGATAATAACAGAAGGAAAGAACACCTAAAAATGGCTATGACTGTCTCCAGACCTCATACCCATGTCCCTCTTCCAGAGGCCACAAACTGTTCATTTGGTTATGGGCTGTAAGTGACCTATAGACACATATTATTTAGTTCACATGCTTCTTTTTATTTTGACATTTTTGCCAACATGCAAAAATCAGTGCAGTTCATACAAGAATTGGAAAATATGAAAACACTGGGGCCAAATTTGTGCTGTGCAATAATCTATAATAAGTAGTAGCTTCCTATTCAGATAAATGCTTCAATTGACTGGTCTGCTTCCCCACCCTCTCCCCCCAACTCTCTCATACCTGGGAACTTCTCAGCCCCCATGGGCATTTTAGTTTTCCCATCAGCTTCATGTCATGGCCACACATTTCAGATAGAAACTTCTTCCCTCTCATCGCATCGGCGACCACAGCCCTTTTACTGCTACAGGTTCCATGAAGTCCTGAATCTATCTGTCCACAGATATGTGTGCCTTCATGCACTTACCTCTACTCAGCTGCAGGTGAATGTTCTTCTTCACGTCATTGAACCAGCCAGGTACCTCTATGCGGCAGCAGTACACATTGCTATCACCTTCATTGGTGTTTAAGATGGTCAAAGAAACATCACCGCTCTGAATATTCCCTTGAAGTCCATACTTTGTTGACTTTCTTGAAAGTACTGTCATTCCATCAGTGTGCAGAAGCTCATCAGTGCACTTGGACTTGGGGCACCGGCCTTTGCCCCAGCACATGCTGTTCCGGCTTGTAGACCAGGATGAGTAGAAACAGGGCAATGTTACTGACTGACCCAAAAATGCTGTCACAACAATTTCTGATGTGGCTGCTGCTGTGAGAAAAGATGAGAAATCCAGGTTGAGCAGTACTAAAATCTTCTATATGCCATACAGTGAATGTGCAAATAGGTTCTTCCAGGAAGATGAACTGAGTCCTTAGTGTGTACGTTTCTTTAGCACAAATTCTGCTGTGCCCTTTAATGCTGCTGAGCTCTTAATCTCATTTACTTTCATCCCCTAATTTGAGTCAGTTGAACTGTCTCAGCCTCAGTCTCCACAGTAAGACCTTATTGCTGATTTTAACACGCTGATCTTGAGTATCATTCAATAAATTATTTTTAAAAGTCTCTCCAGTGAACAAACCTGACCCTGTAACTCAGTTCCACTAACTCGTATAAACATCAGGACCAAAAGCAGCATTCTACCCAGTGTATCTCAGTGAGCAGTGATCATGTACAACTGAATCAATTGTCTCAAATGTCTTCCAATGTCTCTCTCTCTCTCTTTCAATCCAGAAAGTGGTATCACAGGACAATAGATAAACTGTTAAACTTTATGTCATTGCCTTTCTCTCCTTTCAGAACTGGCAGTAAAAATTAATTGCTTTGGACCATAATACAAAGTTAGGCAATGTTTGTGGATTTTTTTTTTTTAAATGTTAGAGTAAGGAAGGACCAAATGAATTTTCCAAAATGGCAGCTGTGACATACCAAAAGGCTGGAGTCTTGGGCTTAACATATTTGCTATGTGGATGGAACATTTCATCATTCCCAAAATGGGAATGGCCAGGTTGTTAAAATTATGTATTCTACTGTCCAAGTCTGAGTCAGAATTTCTGAGGTTTAACCCCCTGGACCTGTAAATTAAGCAGGTTTTTCAGGTCATCCTGATGTAATTGACCACTCATTTAGTGTTTGAGAATCACTACATAAGTGTGTCTAACGTAAATTACATCTCTAACAATCTGTGAATATTTCCACTGCTGTGAATGTTAAGCCCACTGGTTTACCTGAGCATCAGAGTTTTTTCTAAAGCAAAACAAAATGCTACTGAAGTAAGAGGCAAACAGATCATCAGGATCACTTCCTGCTCCCCCTTGGATATCTGGGTCTCTGCCCATAAAATCCTCCAAAGTACCCTCCTGTGGGACTCTCCAGTTCCTAACTTCACTGAGTCAGTGGCTAAGTTGTATAAGACATGGGTAGCAATGTCCTATTCCTCCCTGACCCAGTTGTCAAGAACACCCAGATATCGTTCTCCAGAAGAAGGTAAGCATGGAAGCCTAAGACTCGCCCATAGAGCAGATGGGATGATGTGCTTTTCACTGTTGTCTCTTGTAATGAAAGAGCATTCCAAATTCAGAGCAGCCTGCAACCCTCCCTGAACCCAGCCTCTTCATAAATACTGTGGTACATCCATTTTGCCTGCCATAAAACCAGAAAGAGAAAGAAACAAATTCATTGGCATCAACCTCAGCTGGCTTAGCAATATAACACACACACACACACACACACACAAACACACATCCAAACTACTAACTTCTAAAATGTGATCTTATTCCTACTAATAATTAGTAGTAAATTCATTTAAAATGTGCTAGAATTATTTCCACTGGAAATTCAAAAATTTGAATTTCTCAATAATTTCTCCTGTATTTGTAGCACAAAGGGAAACATCCTACTATTCAGTAAGAAAAGACCCAATAGAAAAACTTGCCAAAGGCAATAGCAAGCAATTCCTCTATGGGGAAACGTGAGCAGCTGTTAAATTAGACTCATCACACTGGAAAAATTGAGAAGTCAGATAATATCAAGTGTTGGGTAGAATATGAGTAAACAAGGACTCTCAGGCACTGCTGAAAAGGATCTAGGAAATGGCTTAGACTATAAGGGTCAACAGGAGTAAAATAGGGTTGTGAATCTGAATAGCAATTGTGCAGTTTTCTATTATCAGCCAACATGTATGTCTCCTAGAAAAACACATGTGCATAAGGAGACATATTTGCCAATGTATATGGCAATCCTCATATATATGTGAATTATTTTCCCCAGTTGCCGTTGAGCCAATGTGGACTCATTGCAACCCCATGTATTTCAGAATAGAACTGCGTTCCATAGGGTTTTCAATGGCTGACTTTTTAGAATTAGATGACCAGGCCCTTCTTCCAAGGCACCTCTGGGTAAACTCAAACATCCAAACTTTTGTTTAGCAAAGAGCACATTCACAAAAAACTCACTGCCACAAGTCAGATCTGACTCATAGTGACCCTTCCTTGGGTTTCCAAAGTGGTATCACTATGGAAGTAGATTGCCCAATCTTCCTTCTGAGGAGTGGCTGGTGGGTTTGAACTGTTGGCCTTCTGGTTAGCTGTCAAATGCCTTAGGCACTACACTACCAGAGCTCCCAGAGAGCACATTAGCCATTTGTGTTATCCACGAACTCTGATATGTGAATGGAACAATGCATATGCATCCTTGGGTAGGCTAAACTTGGGTAGGCTAAACTATGCTATACTCATTCCTTGGAATTCTGTGAGGATAATGAATAAAATTAGACAGAGATTCGTGAATTCATATAAAAACCACCAAGTCGTTAATGTACAAAAAGGATAAGTTTCAAAACAACATATAAATATTAAACCATTTTTGTCAAATACAAAAATTAAATAGCATTTTGTGGTCACAGATGTATGAAAGTAGATGCATAGAGAAACCTCAAGTGGGATATATGCCCAACTCATATGTCAGTTACTTCTGTGATCACAGAAATGGGACTGGGAGTGGGGCAGTAGTCGAAAGGAATATTCACTTTATAGCATTTTTATTTCTTCACAAAGAGAGTATCTGTATTACTCATGTGATTAAAAAGTAATTTTACAAAAAAGGAAGCAGGCGGCTTGCTGTAGGATAAAAATTTCATTAAGCTAATATTGTAAACGTCATTCTACCATTTACTGCTTTTGTGTTCTTGACGAAAGCCATGAGAATCTTGACTTCTTTGTCATCGTAAGGCAAAGGGGATAACACTTGCTTCAGAAGTAGCTATAAGGTTTACATAAGATAACGTAGCAAATGCTGCATACAGTAAATCAAGTATTAGTATAAGAAACCAGGCACTTCAGAGTTTAGGAATAACACAAGAAACTTTTCCTTCCAGTTGCAAAAGTATCCTGGAATAAAGGAAGGGTGGTCACAAATTAGTTCCCCTTTTGGAGAATTCCCCTAGGTGATGGGTAAAACATAGGTTCTGCTTTCAGGGAGGTTCGTTCTCCAGCTAGTGACCTTAAAAAAGGCCCTTCCCAATCTGATCTCAGATTCACCATCTAAAACGGAAGAGTTTGATTAGGCATCTCAGAGGAACCTTTCCAGCTAAGATTCTCAATTATTCTGAGCAGTCACTAACTTCTAAATTGATGGTTTCAGGGAAAGCACACACACACACACACACACACAAATAATTAATTAATTAAAATAGTTGGCCAGATGTTGCTGCTTCCTTCAGGCAAGTAGGAAAAGCCCACTCATTTAGCTGACACTTCCTGGCAACTTTCAGCATAACAAAACTCTTCACATCATTTCCCTAGAACAAGATAAAGATGAGAAAGAAAAAAAAAAAAAAGAAAAACAGTGACAAAGAACCAAAACCAAACTGCAGTTTTCTTGCACACCCCCTCAAAAAAAAATGATGCCAAACCAAAATGAAAGAGACAGGGATGGCTTTCATTCAGTCAACAATGGCATACTGTGTGCTAAGCATGAAGTAGATGTTGGAATACAAACCACATCTGGCCTCCAGGAGCCTACAGATACTTGGCGAGATGGGCAGTTATGTAAGCAATGACCACAGGGTGACAAGTTGTCTGAAGGGGGAACTCCCGGTGATTCAGGAGCTCTGAGACCAGGCTGCCAGCTGTGGGGTGCTCAGGAAAAGCCTGACTTAAGAGGAGACCTGAGGATACCTAATGTTGGGAAAGAAAGCCACAAGAACATCATGACAGAGTTGGAAGGGAAAGAAGTATGTTACATTTTATTTTACTGGATCGTCAATGTTTTCCCTTATAGGACATTTGTACTTTTAAAAGTACAAGGGACATTAGATATTGTCTAGTCCTAGGTTGTAAAATGGATCACATCACAATTTCCAGCAGAACCAAACAAAAGACAATTTAAACACATTCCTAATGTCAATGGTTAGTGACCAAGATACAGCCGCAAATCAGTTTATAGCACTGTCCTCCTACTCAATGGTTGCCAAGGACCCTAAGTGGGCAAAACAAAGGTATACCTGTGAATCACCCAAAACCTGGGAACAAAGTACAGAAAAGAAATCTCACCTTGAAGCTATATCCCTGACAGAACAGAACAGAACAGCAAACAACAAAATCTCTTTAAAACAAGAACAGTAAAATTTTAATAGTGGCAACTTTTACAACAAATTCCCCTGACTCTAACTGAAGAGGAATTTTCTTTCCCTCATTTTATTTTACCCTTTATTTTTATATCTCTTCTTAAATTGCCACTTTTGATATGAGCACAAATTATCCTCATCCTAAAACCAGTCCCTTGATAAGCCTTGTGTAGGGCAGGGAAAACGGAGTGGCACACAAAATAAAGCCATTACCTATAAGATAGGTGCCTACAAAAAAAAAAAAAAAAAAATCTGTATGACACCAAAAGATCAGCAATTACTCAAATGCAAAGATGAGGCGATAAGGGGACAGGGAAAGTAGAGTACTGGAAAGGGAACAAACAGAACACAATTAAAAACAATGTTGACATATTGTGATAAGTGAAAGTAATGTCACTGAACAATTTGTTAGAAATTGTCAAATGCAAATCTAACTGCTGTGTAAACTTTCCGTAAAACTGAATAAAATATTACTTTAAAAAAAAAAAAAAGCCAGGGGAGAGATCCTTAAAAGAAGGAAACTAGAGAAGTATAATGATGGGAAATGAGAAAGAGCAAAGAAACAGAGATGTAGGCATGGAGTGGGCTTTTGCTTTACTGAACCCCAATCTCAATGCATGGAAATCTGTCATACAGGAGGACAAGATCTCTGAGACACCTACATGGAAAGCTCCAGGACACTTACTCAGATAAAGTCGCCCAAACTCAATCACCAGCCAGAGAATGAAAGGCCCTTTGGACATGATGACTGTTGACAGGCCCCAGGAGTCTATCTGTCTGTCCAAAATTCATTTCTTATACCCTGTTAATGCTGACAGGGCAGGACCTTTTAGTTTCATTTCTCTTTTGCCTCATAATCTTCCATTTCCTCCCTCCTGAATTGCCTCTCTCATTTTGGGATGTAAAATAAAATGTGCTGAGCACTTTTCTCTTGGCCAGTTGTGTGTGTGTATATGTGAGTGTGTGTGTGTGTGTGTGTGAATGTGTGGTGTGATAATGCGTGTAAACATATACATCTCTAGTTATGCACAGAGGGGGGTTGTCTATGTGTGCATGAGCATCCACGTGTGTATACATGTATATGTGCATGTGTAAGTTGCAGGCATCCAGACTGCTCTAAAGCTTGTGGTAAAATGCTACTAATTGTCCAACTGTCCACAATGCATTTATTTACACATGGAGTCTTCATGGGAACCAAAGGAAAGTTATACTGGAATTTGGCTTTACTTCCATTATAGGTTCTCCCTAGACCAGAAACTTGGCACCCTTGCTCTGATAATGGGGAAGGAAAAGCAGGGCTGCAATCAACAGTCACATAAGTAAAAAAAAAGAAAAACACCATTAGAGGTTATCATACAGGGAAAGAAGAATATTTTGTAGAGGAAACATATTGTGGCTTTCAGTACAAGTGCAAGGACAGGCTCAGGCATCATACAAGCCCAAGGTCTAGTTTCAAGTGCAAAATTTGTTAGTGAAGCCACTTGTTGGGAAAGAGCTAAAAATACAAAGTATGAGCTGTATTACAGGACTTGAACTAGATAATATGTACAGCCCTTCTGAACTCTATAGATCCAATGATATACTCAGCGTCACAGAACAAGTTATGGGAGGAATCAAACCAATGCTCACCAACCAGATTTGCTTCCTAAAACAGGTTCTTATCATCATCATTATTTAGGGAATCCCTAATCATATGCCAGGCACTGTGTTAAGTGATCTAAAAGTATTACTTAATCTCCATAAACCTAAAAAATGGGTACTCTTATTTTTCGTGGAGGAGTCAGCCACAGGGATCCAGGTGAGGAGAGGGAACCCAGGCCACGCCCCACAAGCGGCAAGGGGGGAAAGCGGTGAAAGGACAGAAAAGGCCGAAGGGACCAGGACAGAGCGACTTGAAGCACTTACTGATGCAGATTGAAGAATGCAGTCTGCAGTATGGATTACATCTCAATATAAAGAAAACAAAAATCCTCACAACTGGACCAATAAGCAGCATCACGATAAATGGAGAAAAGATTGAGGTTGTCAAAGAATTCACATTGCTTGTTTCTACAAAAGAAGCCAATGGAAACAGCAGTCAGGACATTAGACGATGTGTAGCGCTGGGTGGGTCAGCAGAGAAGGAATGCTTTCAAGTGCTGAGGAGCAAGGATGTCTCCTTGAGGACTAAGGTGCGCCTGACACAAGCCATGATATTTTCAATCGCCTCGTATGCATGTGAGAGCTGAACAACGAATAAGGAAGACCGAAGAAGAATTGATGCTTTTGAGTTGTGGTGCTAGCAAAGAATGCTGAAAGTACCATGGACTGCTAAAAAACTAACGGATCTGTCCTGGAGGAAGTGTAGCCAAAATGCTCCTTGGAAGCAAGAATGGCCAAACTTCGTCTCACCTACTTTGGTCATATTGTCAGAGTAGACCATTCCCTGGAGAAGGATGTCATGCTTGGTAAGGTGGAGGGTCGAGGAAAGAGGGGGAAGTCTTCAACGAGGTGGATTGACACTGCAGCTGTGGCAATGGGCTCAAGTATAGCAAGGATCGTAGAGCTGGCACGGGATCCCGGGATGTTTCGTTCTGCTGTGCGTGGGGTCACTGTGAGTCAGAAATTACTCCATGGCACCTAACAACAACAACAACAAATATTTTTCGCATTTAACAGATGAGGAAACAGAGGTATAAGGGGATTTAGTAAATTATTCAAGATGTACAGCTAAGGCATTATAGAAGCAGGACTGAAATCTAGGACTTCATGATTCCTAAGCCTTGCCCTCAATCATCATACTTTCCTTTGACCTGTGACACAAAGGGCAATTCCCCTATAAGACCAAGCCTATCTGTGGCTAGTTCTATCTAATGCCAGAAGAGGAAATTTAGGATATACAAATGTTACAGATTTTTTTAAAAATTTCATTTAATTATAATAAGTCTAATAAGCCTCAAACTTTCACCATTTCACAGTGAAGGTCTTTGTGAAATACAAATCTTGGGTGAGGCTGTGGACTTGGAGAAGTCAAGCAAAGCAGGGAATGGGAGTGAGACATAGAGATAACAGTAAAGAGATAACATAGAGATGGTCTTTCCACTGAACTGTGGGATCCTTCTCAGGGGATTGAGGAATCTAATCTCTGGACAAACTGAATGGCCCCAATAAAATACTTATAGATATATAGATATTGATATTTGGATGTCTCCCAGTAATACCACCATCAGCATTTAGTAAAGTCACCAGTGAAAGACCTCAACTACTCATACAGAACTTCTAATTAGTTTTTAGTGTGTCACTGTTAAGTATAAATATCCCACCAAGAATCACTAGATATCTGAGGAATGTCCTCAACATGAAAAAGAGACAAAATGAGGCAGAACAAAATGAGAAAGAAAACAAGGGGCACTCCCTTTCTTGAAGGGTATCAGTTTATTCTTCCCCTACCTCAAGGCTGTTGCAGTTGTGTTTCTGTAGAAACAGAGTGAGCAGAAAAAAACTTAAAATGCTAATATTATCCAAGAAAGGAAAGATTTTTACATCTATGAGAAAAAAAAAAAAAAGAAAAGTTATAAAAAGGAAAAATCACACAAGGAAGAGTAATCAGAAATTTTAAGAATATAATCCCCACTGTAAAATTTTAGGGAAGGTTTGAAAAATAAAGAAATTTCCTATAAAGTATAACATAAATTCAAAGAGATGGAAAACAGTGGAGAAAAGATAATACAAAATTCAATCTCTAAAGTCCAAATGACCATGTATTTCAGAATATTAAAATAGAAAATACAGGGGGAAAATTATTAAAGAAACAATAAAACAAATTCCCATAACTAAAAGACATGGATTGCTGATTGGAGCACCAATCAAGTCCTGACTCCAATGAATAAACAGACTCCTCAAGCTCTGGGTGGCATAGTGCCTAAGACATTTGACTGCTAACCAGAAGGCTGGTGCTTCAAATCCACCAGCCATTCCTTGGAAGGAAGATTAGGCAATCTATTTCCATAGAGATACCACCTCAGAAACCCAAAGAGGGGTCACTATGAATTGCAATTGACTCAACGGCACTAAGTCCCCCCCCACACACACACAGAAAGGTACATTATGGTGAAATATGAGAAGAATGGACAAAAGAGATAAAAATATTCTGAAGAAAAAGCAGAACAAAACAAAGCATTGAAAGGATTTGGAATCAGAATGACATTGATCTTCTAAACAGAAAAGCTGGAAAATAATGTAGGATACTTTCAAAATTCAGGAGGAAAACAGACTTAAAACCTGTAATCCTGTTCCCAAGCAATTTATTATTTAAATGTTTTTAAAGTACATTAAAGACCTTTTTGGCCATGGAAGGATTTGAAATTTCCTTCCCATGCATTCATTCTTAGAAAGCTATGGAAGGGGAATATGTAGCCAAAAAGAAGAATTGGCAAGGCAACAGAAAGGCATGTTGTTGTTGTTATTAGGTACCATCAAGTCTGTTCTGACTCAGTGACTCTATGAATGACAGAACAAAGTACTGCTGTCCTCACCATCCTTACAATCATTGCTCTGTTTGAGCCCATTGTTGCAGCCAAGGTGTCAATCCATCTCACTGAGAGGATTCTTCTTTTTCATTGATCCTCTACTTTACCAAGAATTACGTCCTTCTCCAGGAACTAGTCCCTCCTGATAATACATTCAAAGTACAGGAGACAAAAATCTCACTAACCTTCTTTCTAAGGAGGATTCTGGCTGTACATTTTTTACCAAGACAGATTTGTTCATTCTTCTAGCATTCCATGGTACACTTAATATTCTTCACCAGTGCCATAATTCAAGGTCATTAGTTCTTCTTTGCTTTTCTTTATTCATTGTCCAGCGGGAGCTCTGGTAGCATAGTGCCTAAAGCACTTGACTGCTAACCAGAAGGTTGGCAGTTCAAACCCACCAGCCACTCCTCGGAAGGAAGATGGGGCAATCTACTTCCGTAGTGATACTGCCTTGGAAACCCAAGGAGGGGTCGCTATGAGTCGGGTCCGACTCGACAGCACATAACAACAACAACAGCTTTCATATGCATATGAGGCAATTGAAAATGCTATGGCTTGAGTCAGGTGCATCTTAGTCTTCAAAGTGACATCTTTGTATTTTAATACCTGAAAGAGGTCTTTTGAACCAGATTTGCCAAGTGAAATATGACCTTCAAATTATTTACTGCTGTTTCCATGGGTGTTGATTGTGGATTGAAGCAAAATTAAATCCTTGACAATTTCAATCTTTTCTCCATTTATCATAATATTGCTTACTGGTGCAGTTGTGATGATTTTTGTTTTCTTTGTGTTGAAGTGTAATCCATACTAAAGGCTATGATCTTTGAATTTTATCAATGAGTGCTTCAAGTCTTCTTCACTTCCAGCAAGAAAGGTTTTGTCATCTGTATACCACAATTTGTTAATAAGCCTTCTTCCAATCCAGATGCCACGTTCTTCTTCATATAGCCAAGTTTCTCAGATTAGTTGCTCAGCATAAAGATTGAAAAAGTATGGTGAAATGATACAACCTGACACTCAACTATCCTGATTTTAAACCATGCGGTATTCCCTTGTTCTGCTAGAATGACAACCTCTTTGTTTATGTACATGTTCTGCATGAGCACAATTAAGTTCTGGAATTCCCAGTCTGTAAAATATTATTCGCAATTTGCTATGATTCACACAATTAAATACTTTGTACAGTCAATAAAACATGGATAAACATTTTTCTTGTATTCTCTGCTTTC